CAGATAGATAAATGCACATGTACATGAACACACACAGAAGAACACGCTTCCCCCTACTGGCTAAGACCTGCCATAGTTCCTTTGGAAATCTTTTAATTTCTCCATGTAAATCACAGAAATGGAGCCTGTGCACCTTCCTCCCTCCATCTTCTACCTTTTATTTTCCTTCCAAACTTCTCCCCCAGAGGGAGATATCTATTTCTCTCCACCCTCCTTTCTGCTGCCACATTTGTCCATAGCTACTTGTCGCTGGACATGAAAGAACAACAAAATGGCCAAAAATTGAATAAAAATCACAAGCCAAAGTTGCCAGTGTAGGTGTGGGCAGCACGCCCAGTTTCTCATGCTTAGTTTCCAGACTTATTTTAGATATTTTGGCGAATGTCTTTATATCTTTTTTATAGATATATTTATATCTTCCTAGGGGGAAGAGCTTCAAAGCCTTCTGTTCTCTCAATGAGCAGTGGCCATCATGAAGCATTTTTCCGATGCACCCAAATGTATCTCCCTGATGGTTACAATGACTCCTTCCAAAAAAAGTGGGCCAGTTCCTCTACCCTCTTCCCTGGAAATTAAGGTCTTCACCCCTCTGTCCAGCCACAGAGCTCTATCTGTATATCTCATTGGGCCTTTGCAGTACGATGCACCCAAATGTATCTCCCTGATGGTTACAATGACTCCTTCCAAAAAAAGTGGGCCAGTTCCTCTACCCTCTTCCCTGGAAATTAAAGTCTTCACCCCTCTGTCCAGCCACAGAGCTCTATCTGTATATCTCATTGGGCCTTTGCAGTAGTCTAGTATTGTAGTGACTTCAGTAAAAGTCTTATCTCTCCTACCAGACCATAAACACCTTGGGAACAATGATTGATTCATATCTGAATCTTCTAATGCCCAACCAGTTGTAGACACCCAATAAATATCCATTGGGTGGGTGAACAGATAAATGTAGCTGTCTCAGGAGAACCCACCTGGCAACCTGGCTACCTGGCTAATTGGAGATAATAGCAAGAGATATTCCATATACTTTCAAAGCATAAAAGAAAGAAGTTACAAAGTCAGATTTTGACTCCAAATTAAGTAAAACTAACAGTGACTAATGTCCAACAGTGAAATGTGCTTTGTTGACCCCCAGTTGGAGCTGGCTGACTTCCTATGAAGAATGCATTAGTGCTTGTATTTATATTCGGTTAGCACTTGCATGGGGGGATCTAAAATACCCTTCAATATTACTATTTTCTGTGATTCTAAAACTCTTTCCACCATATTCCACTGTTGGTGAGCCTAGGTGTACTAGCTGTGTTCTTACTAACAGAAAAAAAAAGAAAAATACCATATGTTCTGGGCTACTTACCAGAGTAACTGCAAATGCTGATGTTCACCAACAGGAAGACAGTTGCCAGCTTCATGACAGGTATCTGGTATTTTCCTGGAGTTTAAAATTCAAATAGAAAACCCAGCAAATCCACCAAGCCAGTGGTTCCAGTTGCCGTGCAAAGTGTGACAGCTGCTTTTGCACACACACGTATTTATACACACACTAAAGACCTGAATTTCAGTCGCCACCACTTGACTCACCAGAAAAAAGCATGAAAGTCACGTCGCCTCACTAAACAAAGCAGAGGGCTATCCGCTCTCGCTCATGTTCCCACGAGAAACAAAGCTTGGATGAACACAGTCTCAAGTACCTCTTGCACAAGCTCTTGCACAAAAATGAAGGTGGAAGGCAAAGAGAACTCTTCTTCTGGAAGCGCACTGAAAAGAAGTGGAAGTTTTATACTGGGATTAAAAGGAATGTTCTCTCCTAGTTTTCTGTTCTCTGCCAGTTTTCTGTTTATTTAAAGTTTGACAATCGCATTACCTGATGAGGTACCTACCCACTTACAGAAGCAACCCAGAGGCCGCCTCGGCCCTAGTACAACACAGAGTCAGCCTAATGACATTTAGGGCCACATTTCTCTGGAATTCACCATCTTCATTCCCACTCCCCCATCTACTATGGCAAGATCTTCTGATCTTTGTTATCTTTTCTAGTGTCTCCCAGTTGTTTTGGGAATCTTCAGGGTGACTTCTTTGTGCTGTCATATACAATAACAGGCTCAGGATCTAAAATCAAAATGCCTTTTTAGAAACCCGGGATTCAATTTTTACTATTTGTGTAATCTTGAATTAGACATTTTTAATCTATGGTATTGATCTTCTCATCTAAAATAGGGATATAAATAGCAATGACTGACCCTTAGGTATACAATCCTGAGGGGAAAAAAAAATTATTTTTTGTAAGAACCTGTTTACACAATTTGAATCACCCAAAATGTGCATTTTGGAACCATTTTGGCAGTTCAATTCCAGGCAATCATGCAAATAATAATAACGTGCTGGCCACAGAACTAACCTGCTCCTAAGGCTGCCCTCCTGGAACCAGGACTCAGCCAGGATGACTCCACCTGTAAGCATGAGCACTGCAGTTCTCTGGGGCACCTGGTGGGCCTCACATGCAAGCAACAGGTTGACAAAGAACCTTGAAGGGAAGAAACAGGGAGCGGAGCCCATGTGGGTACAGGTACTGATTCAGGGCCCCCTGGCCAAATGGCGCTCCTGGCTCCAGCCATTTCCACCACCAAGGGCGAACCCAGAAAATTTTGAGGAGACATACTACGGCACAGGCCCCTAAACTGCAAGGCCAGGGGTTGGGGACTCATTTACCCCATCCAAGGGTCTGGTATTGTTATGAAGACCTAATAAAATTATGCAGACAGAGCACACAACTGTGCCAAACCAAGATTAATGATTAATAAGTGTCACCTATTATCAAGTCCTTTAAGTTACCAAGTAATAATTGCTATTTCTTTATCTTTCTGCCACTTTATAAACTGCATGAAAGAGACCATGAACTACTGCCACAGTACTGCTTTCTCTGCCAGGCACTGCTTCTGTTTCCCCTGCATGGTGCCATCTATGCTAATGATGTTGACATGCCAAATCCCTCTGGGGCCCAAGATTGTTTAGTAAAGTGGTGGCAAGGTTGATGCCACCGTTTGGTTGTGATATCTTTTTGGGTACTAAACCATCCCTGCCCTCACCTGGGCTTGTCATTTGTTAGTTTGCTTTCAAATCGTTTTCCTGAACTTTCCTCTTCTGCTCTGTACTGTAGAAAGTTGAGTTTTCAAAACTGTGGTTTCCAGGCTTCCTGGCCAACTGCATCTGCTTCAGTTCAGCCAGTGGAAGGCACTGGTAGGAAAACTGGAGGAAGAGAGAACGGGATAATGCAGAGTGTTTCTCTCTGTGCATAGTGGGGAGACAGCTTGGGCAGGGACCACACCTTCTTTGTGGCTGAAGGTCCTTTCAGAAAGGCCCGTCCCTCGGTTCCGCCTATGCCAGCAGATCCCCCACTGTTGCAGCTTCTACAGCACAGCCTCAAATCCTGGACCCCACCTTCACACTCTGTCCCTCCTGGTCTAGAAGCAGTACCAGCTTCCTGCATTTTGTTCCGCCTATGCCAGCAGATCCCCCACTGCTGCAGCTTCTACAGCACAGCCTCAAATCTTGGACCCCACCTTCACACTCTGTCCCTCCTGGTCTAGAAGCAGTACCAGCTTCCTGCATTTTTTAATCTCAGGGTTGCTTAAACTGCATGTCTAGCACTTTGTAAATTAACCTCTATGTTAAATTCTTCCTATTTGATCACTTGGGTATGGTTTTGACTTTCTGGCTGGACTCTGACTGATAGAGCATCCTAAAATATTGTAGAGCTTCCAGTAAAAGTAGATCTTTCAGTTTTTAAACATAGACTTCTGTCTCATATGTGCCAAGTTATGAATCCACGAGGAACAGGGCCAAAGCCTATCCAAGAGGAATACAGCATTACACACACAGAAATGCTTCTGACTTCTACCCTCTGAAGTGTTTGGAACTGTCTAAAGTTTCTCTGCTGGTCTCAGCCGGTGAGTTCTTCCCCAGGAGGCTCTTCAGACCCCTGTGAAAATAGATTTTGAGGTTCTACCTAGCAGTCTGGCAGATGCACAGTCCTGACCAGAACCTAGCAGCAGACATGGACGGCGTAGACTAAAGGTTAGAGACTGCTCTACACACAACACACACATACGCTCAAAACAGCCACATGTATCCAGACACTTATACACGTATGAACAGTAAATGTGTATGTGTGTACACAGCCAGACCACACCGACACACATAACTATCAAGCACTACTGTTTTCACTCATTTGTTCGACAAATGTTTACTGAGTCTCTTTTGTGCGCCAGGCATTAGAGCAGTAAGCCAGACAAGCAAATGTCTTGTCTCCATGGAGCTGACAATGTAACGGGATGAACAGACAATAAGCGGGTAAACAAACAAAGGAAACAACTAGAGGTAAGTGCTATGAAGAAGCAAACAGGGTGCTGAGAGAGGAAACGAGTGGATTGGGGAACAGTCAGACTTGAAAAGTGACTTGGGCTTGGCTGCTGCCATGTTCCAAACCATTGTGTTAATCATGTCTTTTCATTCTGTGTTGTTGGTGATTTGACATCTTGGGGACTTGCTGACCTTAAAGGGACTGCCTCTCCCGAGGCTGGCTAATTCCTAGAGGTACAAACAACTCACCGGAGAGCATCCCTTTCACAGGCAAACCAACCAATCCACAGCCTGCACTCCCAACCACCTTTAGCAAACAACTTGCTGGAGAGCATCCCTTTCACAGGCAAACCAACCAATCCACAGCCTGCACTCCCAACCACCTTTACTGAGCTCTTATTCTCTGGGCCACTATTCCCCAATCATCTGAGGACCAGGTACTAGACAGCCAGGGACAGCAGCTACATCCCAAAGCTCTCCAAAATGATTCAGACTAACCCGTCATGAACCCACTTACTCTGTCTCACCTGCCCCTTCCTGAGGAAACCACAATAAAGGCTCTTGCCCACATTTTCCCCACTCTCTCTGCCTCCTGACCCACTGGTACTTCTCTGTGTGCCCACCCCTTGTGGTGTGGTGTGTCCCCTTGTATGGGGATATGTGAGTGTATTAGACTATTTTTTCAATGGCAGTCATCTCTTTATCTATTGGCAAGAATAATAACAAAATGTATATTTTAAAACAGCCATCTAGTCTTTTTTTGTGCCTTTGTTATGGTATGCTGCTATCTTTGCAGCATAATTATTTATATTAATATCTTCTTTCTGAGGACTAATTTGTAAACATCTCGAGCCCAACACAGTTGATGATGTTATTAGGAGTCATCAGTGCCAGGTACTATACTATATGTATGTTATGCATTTCATTCTCACAAAACCTCTGATGATAAGAACTTTTATCCCATTTTATAGATGAGAAATCTAAAGCTGGAAGCATTGAATTCATTGCCAAGGTTACTTAGGTAATAAATAATGCACCCAGAATTTGAATCCTGTCTTTTCTGATTTGTATTGTGTTACTTTGAAACATTCAATATGCATTTCCAGTAAGCATTTGCTAAATATATTTTTTCATGAAAAGAAATGAAATAAAAAGGGAATGAATGTCAGCATTTTTAAATTAATTTGAATGTGCTTTTCAAATGTGATTTTTGTGGAAATTGAACTTGGTCATCAACAAGAGTGGAAATTCAATTAGCCATTTAACAAGTAGCTATTGAGCATGCTTGATGTGTTCAGCTCTGTGGCAGATTTTGGGAATACAGCAGTAACAAAAAATCATGACTCTTGTCTCACTGTAATTATGTTAGAGAAAACCCTTTCTTATAGCTGAAAAGGAGACAGTCTCTGGGAAATCACACTGGAAACGTCGAAGTAGAGTTTATCTTCTCTTGTCTATTTATTGCAAATGACATGGTCCAAAGTGGCCTTAACTTAAGCTTACATAAGAGCGGGGTGGGGGTCGGGGGTGGGGGGAAGAGTTCATAAAATTTATCTTTACAAACACAACCATATAAAGTATAATCAAAACTCACAGCTCATTGTATCAACCTGATAGATCTTGGAGAAAAGCCAAACAATCTGTTTCTATCTCAGTTTCATATTGATTGAATCCTGTTCAATAAAAATCAATATCATGCCATTAGAGGCTCACCTCTAGGCACACTCTAGGCACTGCAGGGAAATTCAGATGGAATGTAAGCCTGAGAGTGAAACACAGGAAATGATTAATAAATCTAGAGAGAATCAAATCAAAGTCTCGGGAGCATGCCAAGGGGAGGTAAGCTATCAGGGCAGGCTGGATTTTTCAGTGAAGGCCTCAGGAATTCAAGTGGGTTTTTAATTCAAAGATTTGGGCAAGCAGAGAGGTAAGAAAAAAAAAACTAGAATTTGCAAAGGCTTATTTTGGGAAGCACACTAAGACAGTGAGGCAGGCTGAAAAGAAAGATGCGTGAGACAGTGTCCCTCATCTTTCTGTGCCCAGCACTGTGCACTCACAGAGATAATCAAAATTCACAGCTCATTGTATCAACCTGATAGATCTTGGAGAAAAGCCAAACAATCTGTTTCTATCTCAGTTTCATATT